ATAACATCAGTGTAATACGAATTATTTTCTTTTGAACTTCAAAATTTTTAACTGAGGACGTGAACCTAGAACTCAAGAATAAATGAGTGATAAAGTGCACGAAAAGTAGACATTCTCGTCGCTTGTGTCGAAGTTGTTGTCGTGTTTAGAAACAAACAACTAATCGTTCCATCCAAAATCGCGATCATGTCATAAGTTCGGGATTGAAGAGTTGAAGAGGACGCGCGAGCCGTTTTGTCTGCTTTTTGCTGAAGTGTTTGGGTTGTATGTTGAAGTTTCCAGTTTGTTGTTGCGAGTTGAAAGTTTATAACACACGCGTGGTATGTGTGGCGGTATACTGCTAATGCAAAGAGTACTGAGATGTGCAATGGTTGAATACTTAACAGCCACTTAAGATTGTGCAGGAAGGGTGTGAAAGTGATAGGTTATGATTGGGGTTGCGAGCGATTTTACACCGCATAAAGTGATTGGTGAAATAAAAAAACCGCAGTCGTACGATGGGTGACGGAAATGGTTTTGACTAATGATAAGAAAAAATTGTCACGACAGAGCGCGAAAGAGACGATTCGTGAGGGACACCAAAGTGATAGGTGAAATCAACCTTTAAATCTGTACTTAGCTGAATATGAATAAGATGTACACGAATATCATGCACTATCGATTCAAATGATGAAACTTAACTTCCGTAAATCTCATTTGGAGGATCTCCTCCCTTTTGTGTTTGTATCTTATCAATGCTTTGTGTTCGATATATAAAACAGTGTTATTACAAAATNATATTTAACTGTTGTGGACGATAGGAACTTGCGGTTCAAATTTAGTGCGTCTTATATGCCTTACTGCGTATGGATATGTTTTTGGCTCACAATCAGTGATGCGATAAATGCTGGAATATTTAGCTTAGCAGTGTCCTAAAACTTGCTCTTGTTATAAATCTGAGTATAAACAGACTGATATGATGCAAAGATCACGTTGACGATGTTTGTGAGGTTAATTAAAGCGCATATGAAGTTTAAAGCAAATCTTTATTCCAACAACATTCTTTGGATGTTGCTTGACCGAATATATGTTGATTGAAGAGCATATAAAATTCATTTATTGTTAGTGATTCAAGGAAAGCGGTATTGCTGAATTGTTATTATACACAGTGATACGAGCTAACGATGTTTTTGTCTCGAATATTTTTGGCAACATTATATTTTCGATTTTTTCCTAGCCGGCAAAAAATTTGAACGGTGAGCGATAAATTGAATTGCATGTAATCTGGAATCATTAACCATGGTGCTGTTTCTTCAGCCAATATTTCCTCTGCACTAACAATAGACACTCGACTCTCACTAGCTTTAAGCCCAACAACTTGACTGGTGCCTCGCTTCCTCCTTGCCTTTCTGTCTTGTCTCATCTTTCTTGCCTCGATTTTGCTCACTCTCAGATTTCACCGAATATTTACTTATGATTGATTAATTTCATTCAGTCGTTTCAATCAAATCAATATTCAAATGATCTCATGACTATCTTCCTACAAAATAAAGATTCGTACCTTCAAATACCTTCACTTTTATCTTGTGCTTCATTCGAGTCTGCGGATGTGCAGTCCCAGTATTTCAAATGGTTGAGTTCAGTCTGAATTTTCTCATGAATTGCCAATCGCTCATTTATGCAAGCAGTCAAAAAGATCAACTTGAATTGGCGTTACTTTGAAGTATTTTTAACAGTTTGAAGTAATTGTAACTTATCGGACAGTTTGTTACTGTCACGATTTGTGGTGATTGTAGTATTGATTAGTGATGATGCTTTTATTCAATTTTATTGTTTTCCTTGGAAATTCAAGCGGATGCGCTTCATAGAATATTCACTGACTGCTGATGCGGCGGCTATTGAATGCATTCAGCAGAAATGAATTTTAATTCGACGCCGAATCTCTCCGTCGAATGATATTTCCCAAAATTTTCTTTGAATGTTTTCTTCTATTTCCACTGCACTTCATTATCATTTTCGTTTTGCTTAATTTATATCGTTTAGCGGTGTGTTGTGTTTGGTTTGTGTTTTGTTTGGTGTGGTGCGTTCGATCGAACAACAAAAACTTGCCAGACTTTTGGCAGTTCTCATTCAAATTCTTTTTCTTCTTTTTTTTNTATTTTTAATAATGCTATAGGAACAAGTGAAATAAAAAGCCTGTTTCTGTATGTTTTCCATTGTTTGCCGTCGTGTTCTTCTTGTTGTTGTTATTATACTTCATGAAATTAAACTCATTTCAATGCATTATTGTTCGGTTTCATTGAACATATGCATTGAATGAACGATGAAACGAATCAACGATGAGGATTAGCATCTTTTTTGTCTTTTTTTTGTCGCTCAAGGTGAACCACTGAACCTCCTCTTTCCTCTTCGATGTGGCCACAGACGTGTTGAATGATCGAGTGTTTTTTTTTGCAATTGCACTTATGTTTTTTTTTTTGAAATAGCCTTTTCATGGTGACTGAATGTTGCTTGGTGGCAGTAAGCCACTTGAACGGAACATGGCGTACGGAAGTAACCGAATAAACGTTTGTTCCGTAGTGAGGGGAACGGGCGATGAGTGTGCGAATGAGCAGTTACTTGGAGACGATAAGTTTCGAGAAGATGAGTAGCCATCATGATACTTTGAACCAATTGCAGCAGTGTTTCAAGTATGCGTATTTTCAGACTGAGAAGAGCAAAGAATTTTTTCGTAAATGCGATTGTTGTAAATTTCCACTGATTTGAGAAAAGATGACATTGCCAGCCGGCTTAAAAACGGCGGAAACCGAATCACCGAATCCTCAGAGAGTAAGTGTGAGGAAATCTCATGAATGCGCCAATTAAAACTGAATTTTGGATTTAATGAAGAACATCTAATGAAGATGCTTCTAGTGTTTTTTCACAGAGCTGTTAAGCCAACATCTGGTGTTAACGTTGTTTCATGGTGAAGTGTTATAGTGTAGATGATGAACTTGTCTATTATATGCGACTCGCTCGTTCCAGTGAATCAAAGCTCACCTATGGATTAACTTTTAGTCGTTTGTTTATTTAGCCATCAACAGAATGAGTATCTCTTTTAATAGTGATTATCACCTTTCATGTCCAGTGTTGACCGGGCACCAATCGAGGGTGAATGATTTGAAGAATGATTAATTCATCGAATCATTTCAAAAATATTTAGTTGATGAATGAAAATGAAAGGAGGAAGAGTTCCTATAATGGATGCGTTATATTAATGTTTGTTCATTTAAGTTCATTCGTTCATCTCTTCAGTTGTTAATAGATGAGATTGAATTTGAAAGCAATAGATCAATGAAATTGAGTTGTTCTGATATTCGAAAGAGTAGCTGAAAAGAAGTCAAGGCTATTTGTTTCGCTGCTTGTTTCGCTGCTTGACTGCCTCATTCGTTTTCGTACCCTGCATTTGCTTCCACTCTTATTTGTCTTCGGTAAATATAATAGAATATAATATAATCTATCTATCTTCTAAGAAAATTCGACCAACACAGCAATCATTCAGTCAACAAATTCTAAGGACAAACGAGGACAACTCTGTTGAATCTTTATATTACCTATCTATCACATGCAAAATCATCACAATATGCATGATGAATATGAATGAATGTATGAAAATAGCTCGTCACCGTTCAAAAAGCTC